AAATAAAACTTTTTTTAAAGATTTTTTTTTTTTTCCCTCTCTCTCTGTGTCTCTCTGTCAAATAAATAAATAAAATCTTAAAAAAAAAAGAGAGAGAGACATGCATATGACAATGAACGTCTGTCGTATTGCTATATTCTTCCCTTGTCAAAAATTTCAGGCTAGGGGTACATGGCTGGCTTAGTTGTAGAGCATACAACTCTTGATCTTGAGGTCCTGAGTTCAAGCCCCAATTGGGTATAGAGATTACTGTAAAATAATAATTTTTAAAAATTAAAAAAAAATTCAGGCTAGGCAAGCTGGAGGGAAGGTAATCCCAAGAGCCCTCTTCCAATAACTGGATAGCCAGCAGAGCACAGGGGACACCCAGGCCACTGCTGTCAGTCTTGGTTCTAGACAAGTGGGGGCAGCAGAGAGCCAGATTGCAAGAACCAGTCCCAGAGGGCTTTCTCTCAGGCCCAAGCTGAGACAAACCAATCCAGAAGACATCATACCAAGAGGCTGGGCTGACAAGGCAGGTAGACAGATAACGGGCAAGAGAGGACCTACTGGCTTAAGCACAAATGCCAGGGACTGGCAGGAAGGAAAAGTCCCCAGATGCCGCCCCAGGAGGTGGACTGGGCCTGTGGTCCTAGGGTCACTCTGGCAGGCCTTAGGGGGCAACTACCCTTTAATGGGTTGGGGGATGACTGCCAGATCCACTGAGGTACACAATAAAAATTCTCCCTCTAGTCCTATACTTAAGGCCAACAGTACCATCTCTGGAAGATTCCTTTGCTAGTGCTGACTTAGAATCCCCTGATGTTCGGTGACTAAAGCAACGTCAGCTGGTTTGATCCAGTTCTGTTCTGCAGAACTTGCTTTGCCCTATTTCATCCAAGTAGCTCTAAGCACTTTCTTTGGTATTTCTGTTCAGTTCATGTGTGTGTTCAGAATCAGGAAGGAAACTAGTAATCAAAATCCCCAGCCACCTGCAAAGGTCACATTAAGGGGACCGGGTGAATACAGACCGCTTCTGGCTAGACTCTAGCATGAAACCCTGCTGGACTCAACTCTCCCAGATCCAAGTTACACCACCTGTCTGCGGTGTGAAAGTTTGCGGGGGGAGAAGGACCTGAAGTAAGCTCGTAACACAGATAACACAGCACATCCACCCACAGGGAGGCTCGTCTTACAGCTCTCCTTGCTGACTCAGGAAAAGCGGACTCTTAGCTCCCCTGGTCGTTGCAGAATGGGTAGAGAGGATGGGAGAGCATAGGCTTAGGAATCACTGGGAACTGAGGTCAAGTCCTGGCCCTGCCAACTGTTAGTCATAGCCTCAGTGTACCATGCACAGGGGAATGCCCTGGGCAGCCAGGGGGCCCCAGGAAATCTTGGGTAGGGGTGAGAGAGGGGACATTACTAACCTAGAGTCTAAAATGAGGTTCTTGGGGCGCCTGGGTGGCTCAGTAGTTGAGCGTCTGCCTTCAGCTCAAGTCATGATCCCAGGGTCCTGGGATCAAGCCCTGCATCGGGCTCCCTGCTCGGCGGGGAGCCTGCTTCTCCCTCTCCCCACTCCCCCTGCTTGTGTTCCCTCTCTCTCTGTGTCTCTCTGTCAAATAAATAAAGTCTTAAAAAAAATAATAATAAAATGAGGTTCTTAATCTAGGGAGGGTACATCAGAGTTACCTAGGAACCTTTTTCAAAAGACTAATTAATACTCCCTCCCAGCCCCTATCCACTCCAAGGGTATATAGAATTCTCAACAGGTAGAATCCTTTTTTAGTATTATTATTGTAGGAAAATATATATAACATAAAATTTTCCACTTTAAGCATTTCTAAGTGTGTAATTCAGTGGCATTAATTACATTTGCAATGTTATACAACCATCACCATTACCTATTTCCAAAATTTTTCATCACCCCAAACGAGTATCTTTATTTTGAAAAAATTCTGCACGTAGTCCTGAAATGTTCCCACAGACAAAACCGTGGACCTAAAACACCAGCCTGAAAGAACCCACAAGGTTCTCACCCACGTCACCCAGTCTGCCAGCCAAGTTTGAAGCTGCATCTAATCCAGTCCACTATTCTTGGGTCCCATCTAGCTTTGTTGTGGAAGCCTGCAACCTCCGTGAGGCAAACCCCATCCACGAGTCCAACCTGGCCCATCCAACAACCCCACCAAATGGAAAAGGAATGGAATGAACTGAGCAGTAGAACTCTGCTGCCTCATGTATGAAATGTGTCTTATCCAAAGAGGGGCCGTGGAGAAGACAGAGCCAACAGTACGGGAGGGAGAAGCCAGGAGGCTGGAGGACAGGATAACAAAAATGTCTGTGGGCACATGTTGTGATGCTAAGCCACCGCACACTGGGGCCCTCTCCCCTAAGTGTGGTGATGAATTTAACATCCACAGTTGTCCAAATCCACTCCATCTTGCACAGAGGTGTCTGACTGGAGGTTCCTAAGTCCAGATGTCTACTGACCTGTAGCGAGACACTTACAAACTACACCCGGGCACCTTTAAACTGAGATACCATCAAGAGGGGGCAACTGATACTGGGGTAGGGGTCACAAGACCATGGCTCTAGCCTCGGCTCCACCTGCTACTTATCTACTACATAATCTTTTTTTTTTTTTTTAAGATTTTATTTATTTATTTATTTTGAGAGAGAGAATGAGAGACAGAGAGCACGGGAGGGAGGAGGGTCAGAGGGAGAAGCAGA